TTTCCGCTATTTCTGCGGACATATCAAAGGGTATAGGGACTTATCCATACTTATCCATCCGCATATGGGTACAACTGCATATCTAAGGGGTTATCCGCTTAAATAAGCGACACATGATCTTGTTCTGGACACATCAGGCTGGACTCTGATGCCGGACCTTTTCTAGATAGAAACCAGGCTCCTTCTGGACCATGACATCATTCTGACATCATAGGTAGGAGCTAGGCTCAGGCACTAGGCCATAGGCCGGTCAATTCTGGACCCTAGGCCCAGGGCAGGGCAGGGCCAGACTATAACATCATATATGACATCATAGAGCACATGATACTTAGTAATCCTTACCCAGCTAGGTACCAGGGGTTCATTACCGGTCCCTGGGGGATTTTCCCTCATGTATATAAGGCAGCATCCTGGGGCACCCTGTTCCCCAGTTCTATTCACTTCGTTGTTGCACTTAACAGCATTACCTCCCCCACACTTAAGTGCTTTATCTCCCCCCCTTACCATCAAGCTATAAGGTGGGTTTATAGGTTTTGTGATATCAATGTAGATCAACCATATTCAAAGCTTGAGAGACAGCCCAGAAAACACGGGTGAGCTAGCGAGACCATTGTTATGGTTTCATGTAAGGCACACACAGGTACGTGAAGGATGACATGGCGTGATACACAAGTGATATTCTCATGTGTAGCGCCATTGTGACTGATCGTGATGCCTGTATGGTTTGGGATCACAGCAAAACCAATATTAATAGACCTCCCCTTGCAAAGTATACACTTCAGCAAAGTGGGGCAGAAGCTCGCTGCAGGAGTTGGCAGTGGTGCAGAGACGGCAATGGGCAGCCAATCAGAGACGGCAACGGGCAGCCAATCAGAGATGGTAATGGGTAGCCAATCAGAGATGGGCTACTGAGTGGACACTTGATCCCCTCCCTTGTCTACCAACGATGGTCGGTGATCGACAATATATGCATCCTGCTCAGAAAGGTTATGTTGTATACAGCTCCATGGCTAATGGTCAGAATCTACTGGTATCGTGTTACAATAGGGTGCAGAGGCCATCGCTGTCTGCCATTGCTTGCAGAAGCAGATGGACAGTAGATGTCACGAGTTGGTACAGCGTCTAGCTGTTTTTTTAATTTGTTCCTTTTCGCGGGCTCGAACCTACAACCTCTGTACTACATGCCTGATATGGACGCATCGTTATCTACTGTACGATTAGATTAGATGGGGCGGCAGTGCGCAGCACAGCTCGGGCTCCACTGACACAGCCGCTCTGACTCACCGGCCCCCGGGGCCGCGTCGGCATGCTGTGCACGGACCAGCACGCACGGACCAACGCGCACAGCCTGCCCTAATCTCCCCATGTATATAAGCCGGCCTCTGCTGCCCTAGGGACCTCAGTTTTGACCTCTTGTCCCTAGGTCAGTAAGCTTCCATGTATCCTTACTTACCCTTTACTAACTAATACATTTCTTGTCCCTAGCCTTAGGTTTGAGCCTTGCTCACCATCGCTTTGGTAAGACCCAGTCAAACGCCCCCAGCATCCTTCCAAGTCTGTGTTTCCCCTGTCGCTCGACCCTAAGTCGCGACATTAGGTCGAAACTCCTCACTGCTGCCGGCATTTTTTCGGAACCCATACACTCACTTCCTCTCCTATAGGTCGGGTGGTGCGCACCCTCACTATACCTTACGATATGTAGATAGCCTACTATACATCGCCAACACTAGAGAAACGAACTCTTCAGTACCTGCGCTTCAGTGAGCGGTACTTGTCCTCACGGACGCGTAGCCTTGGTTCCTGCTGCATAATAGTCAAAAGCAGTATTGGGCCCTACGTGAACTGTGAATCTCAGTGTCATTTCGGGCGCCGTAGGTGTAAGCTAGAGTAACACGGCCTTTCGTAGTACGCGCACCTTCCCGTCCTTCCCCCATCCAACGTGGCTGCCTGTCAAGGCCAAGTTCACGCATTTGACTCTCAGGACCTCATCGACGTCTACATCCCAGACGGCCCTGAGACTGTCATCTACCGTTGTGAGCAGCAGCCGTGCCCCAACCGGACACCCCGATCGATCGCGGAAGATTACCCGCACTACAAGGCAATCCGGCGAGCACAACATCCGCTCGGCCCTCGAAGCACCCTTGCATCTCGATCTGCCTCGAGGCACTCTCGCCCTGTCTCCCCCAGCTCCCGCCTCCCTCAAACTGTCGTCGATCCAGGTCAAACGCGAGGAGATCTCCCTCCAGACCCTGCGTCAGAGCCTGAGCCTGAGGAGGGTGACAGTGAAGAAGGAGTCTCGGAGTCCGAGTCCGAGGATTCTGTTGGGTCCGCCTCGCCGACAGCGGTCGCCCCCGCGTCAGCAGTCCCTGACGTACGTGACCCCCCCACCGAACTTCCTTCGGCGCCTTCACCGCCGACTCCGCCGAGAGGCCGCTCGAACACTCGCTCCTCTCGAAGTTCGACCAGCGGAGGGCCACCACAGCCGCCTCCGCCCCCGCAGCGTCCTCTGTCCCCCCCAACGCCGATAATGTCCTCCCCTGCAGCCGCCCCCGACAAGGAGACCCTGAAGCTCCTCCTCCCCCTCCGCTATGACGGCAAAACCGTCATCGAATGCGACAGGTTCTTGTCGCAACTTCGTATCTACTGGTTGATTAACACGTCGTTGACAACCATTGAACTTAAGGTACAAGTTGCGTTAAGCCTGCTTGATGGTGACACCCGCGCCTGGGCCACGCCCTACTTCGCCCAACTCGCGTCGGTGCAGATGGGAGTACAAGGGGTCACGACCCCCTTCAGGAACGAAGCGGCCTTCACCGCTGCCTTTAAGGCCCGCTTCGGAAATCTCGACGATGCGGCAGCAGCACAAGTAGAGCTGGCGAAGCTCTGCGCGGACAAATCGGTCCGCAAAAAACGCACCGCTGCAGAGTTCTCCGCACTGTTCAAGGGTCCGGCGGACCGTTCCAGGTATGGGGACCTGGAACTACGCGACAAGTACCTGAGCGGCATCCCCTCCCGCGTATATCGCAAGATCGAGCTCGAGACCTTCACCACGTGGCGAACCGCTGAAAAGCGAGCCACTGAGGTCGAACAGATCCTCGACATCAGCCGGGCCCGTCGGCCCGAGTTGAACAATTTCTTCTCGGCTCGAGGACGAGGGCGCGGAGGGGCACGTGGTGGTGCACCCTCGACGCATGCAGCTTCGGCCAGCATTAATGTGGCCGTCGGAAAAGGAGACTTCCCCGGCACATGCTTCGGCTGTGGGAAGCAAGGGTACCGACATTTCGAGTGCCCCTACTGTAAGGACAAGCCTTACACAAAACGCGCCGATGCGCGGGCTACGGTTGCCTCGGGTTCGACCCAGGCAGCGACAAGCGCCCCTGTCGCTTCATCCTCGGCGAGTATAAGCGCCGCTTCAGCGAAATCGGAAAGTTCCGAGCTGGCGGACTTAATAGCACAGATGAAGTCGATGCGCGAGGAGTTGGAGCACTACCGAGCGCTCAAGGAGGAGTCTTTTTGATCCGGTCCGCGCTTTGTGCCGCACGTGTCGGGCCGCGTAATAATAATCTGTACAATGTATTGGCGACCGCAAATGTGTACGAATTAGACCATGGGTCCCAACATTTCCACATCCCGGTGCGCCTTAAAGGAGAAAGACAGCACAAAGATATAGTTGCAATGGTGGACAGCGGAGCCACTACGAAGTTCATCAACAAGCGTTTCATCA